AAAAAAGATGAGAGCTACAAAAAAGGTATCCATACAAAAATCGATATCTCCTTTGGATTTCGATAAATCGGCGAAAAACTGGCCTCGAGGAAAAATAGACTCATCCCAGTTCACCAGATCTCAACAGAACTAAATAAAATTGAAATTAAATAGAATAAAAATCGTAAAAAATGGCCGACAAGTGGAATAATAAAAGAACAGCAAGGGAAAGGGAAATATGAAAGATGGAGGACGAGAGAAGTTCCTGAATGATCAATTTTCCGGAATAAGAATTTTTCATTTAGAAATCCTTGAGTTCACAGTTCGTTACCTTAATCGGTCTCACTCCAAATGCTCTGTACATTACAACACGCGATGCATTACACAGGACTAGTACATCCTCCGATAGCTGCGATGATGATCCAAAACTCTCAGCGGAATGAAAACGGTGAAAAGGCATCACTCATTCGCCATCACCTGGAAACAGTCTCTCGTATTTAGCACTTGAGTAATTGCAGGTGCCTCAGTACTTATTGCACTTGCCCCATCAACCAATTAAGACATCCCCACAATAATTATCAACTCCCCAGCCATCAGGACTTCTCTCCAATCTCGTTAATCCTCGAAATCTATTTGACTTTCTGCTATTTTTCCATTATTATTATTTATTCCACTTCGAACAGTTGGTGAAGGTCGACAACATTCACCAACTTTAACTAATTACCACAACTCGTAAATAAAATTGACTGCTAATAAAATGTGCGAGGGTACAGCTCTATTTTTTTTGAATTTATCGCTTTTTTAATTGCTGTTTTTTTTAATCTCTCCGTCCGGTTTTCTAATTTTATTAATTGATTGAGATAATTTAATACGTCAATGGCTTCTTCCATTTCGTTTCGCCTCTCGAATCGTTTCTTCTTTCGATAGAAATTCTCATTCATTTATTTATTTCTAATTATCCGCTCTTTTAATCTCGAGTGATTAAGAAATTTGAATGGATTATTTGTGGAAATGTCCGAGAGTTGTGACTAGAAATCGAATAATCAAGATCCAATTATTTCCCATGGGGATAATTGTTAATGAACAAAAGACAAAGCGCCATAAATTCATTGCAATTATCCGAAATTGTAATTAGGTGAATAGTTACTGAATAATTTGGAAAAAAATCGCTGGACAGTCGCGATTTTTTAAAATTTATTTACCCTAGAGTTTTAAGACGTGCAGGAGTGGCATGTAATTAAAGAAAAATGTTGTAACCTTGTCTTAAATAACCTTGCAGTGGAGTTTGCATAAAAATTATTCCCGGATATTGTCCAAACCTTTTCCTTTCAAAGTTAATTACGTAATTGCCTGAATTCCCATTTTGGATTGACCTCTTTACCTGTTGAATTCACTTGGCTATTGAATTTTATTCAATTGAATTCCTTTCTATTGCAAAATCATCATTTTCCCACTGATTTTCAATTCTCTCA